TGTAACTCCAGCTCCAATTCTAATTTTGTACAGCAGTTAAATGCTATCTGTTAAAAAAAAAATTCCTGTGATTGCTGGTTGCTTCTTAACTCAAGCATACACCACTCTATTTTAAGAATAGCTGTCACCTCTGAGTGTGCTAGCACACATGCAGGGACATCCCTTTCTTTCCTTTATTTTATTTTTGAGTAAAGTCTCATTACAAAGCTTTGGCTAATCTAGAACTCATTATGTAGACCAGGCTGGTCTTGAACTCGCAGAGATCTTGTCCACCTCTGCCTTCTGAGCACTAGACTCAAAGGTGTGCACCACCATGTCTGCATACGACCCTCCCTCCCCCCAGCTCTTTCACATGCCTTAAAAACATTTTTACTCAAACAACTTAAGGAGGTGAGCACTTTGGGCTAAGAGGCCTATTCTACTTTCTCTGCAATCTCAGTAACCCACAGGGCAGGCGTGTGACAAACGGGAAAGGTGTTTTAGTTCAGAGCTTCCAAACCTGAGGAGCTGTGTGCCCTTTCTCCATTTTCTACTCTCACAAAACCCCACTGAGCACGTGAGCAGTACCTCGGGTTGCAGGGACTCCAGCTCCATCCAGAGAGGCTGTGGAAATGCCACTGTTTCAATCTACACCCCCTGGGGCAGCCCATACTGGCCTAAGCAAGGAATGATTACAGAGACCCAACCACTGCTGTGTGGCTGTGCAGGGGCCCTTCATCTCCAAGCCGAAAAATTCACATTTAGAAATGCAGTTTCTTTTGCCAAAACCTCCCGGTGAATTTTCTAAGACCCCTGTGACCTAATTTGTTGAGTGTTTGTCTTCATATTTTCTCAGGCTTTCCTCATGCTTAATGGCATGGCTGCTGTTAATTCAATCATTCTCACTTTTTTTTTTTTTTTGCCCCCTTCTTCCTATGATCAAAGAGCCCCATTAACCACCCCAAACACACCGACCGAATAATCAAGCTGTCCAAGGGCTGCCTGTTGGTGCACTAATCTCCAATACTGGTGTGGCTAAAAAAATGGCTTAACTGTTTCTTTTCCTTACACGCAGCTGGTTTTGCACTTCAAATGGCCGGTTTGCAGAAGTACTTTCACAAATAAAGGATGTGTTATTGAGAGGATGCTAATGTGAAAAGTGTAAAGGCATAACTCAGGGAGCCAGTAATAGAAGTGAAGAATAAAGTAAAGGGTGGCACCATCCTTTAGACTTCTGTTACTAAAAATGCAGTCCCTTCATCTCTTACTTACAGCCCATTCCCAGGGTGCCATGAAAGGGCACTCTCTCACACTCCATTTTCCAGTGGGGATGGCTTTTTGTTGTTCCTCTTTCCAGCAACATCAAATAGCATTCTGCATCAGGCAGAAACTGCCTGAGAATCTGAAGCAATAGTATTGGTATCTTACAATACTGGGGTGGGTGACTGTCCCGTTAGGAAGAAGGCAGAAGCGCCCATTTGTCATCAGTGCAGCTACTCAGTCCTGTTGTATTCTTTTCAATACCCTAATCTGCGTCTCATCAGCTCAGCATTCAATAGGAACCATCTTTGGTCACTGGAGAAAGCCCACATCCCTTGATTTGAATATTTGCAAATGAGCCAGAAAGCCTGGGAGTACACTGGGAGAAGGTAAAGGGCTTCTGGAAAGCAGTGTGGGAGAAAGCTTGGGTGGGACCTGAGTTAAACACCTGAATATGGATGATGAAACTGGTAGCTCTCTTTAGAGGTCAACCATCCTTTTAAATTTCAGTTCAAATTACAGAGGCAAGTCACAAGGTTGCCTTAGCTGGAAGACACGAGTTTGGGTGGATTCCTAAGAGGAAATTTCATGTTATCTGATATGCACAAATCAATGTGGTTTAAATCTGCATGTTCCACAGCGTTATAAATCCTTAGAGGATCAGGTAAACAGAAAGTGGATTAAGATATCACTGCTAATAAAGAAACATTTCATCTTCAAGGAGAAAACCTCACAGGAGACATTGGGCGTCATTGGGCCATAACACAAAACAGAGAGTCATCACAGAAGCCTCAAGGCCCATTCAATTAAAAATGGCTGGGATAAAAATGGCTGAGATCCAGAGCTTCTGAATTAGGTCAAAAAGAAAGGAAAGAGAAATTGCCTAGGCCAGACTGGATTTTCTTTCTTGTCACTCTTTCAAAAATGTAGAGGCAAATGAAAACCCTGATGGGCGAGCAATGAACTGAATCTTTCACATGTAGCATGGCATTCAAAACAATAATAAAAAATGAAAATATCTCTGGTAAGAAAACATATCCCAGAACCACAAGTTAATGGGGTTGAATATTCTAGATGTATTGTCCTGAAGTCGAAGCAAGGCTTAGTAGTGGGGGAGGTCATGAAACGGCAGAGTTTGGAGAACAACTGTAGCTTGTCTGGAAAGCCACCCCGGTGCAACCATGTGATTCGGAATGAATCAGCACAGGGTCTTAGAGAACATTTGATATTCCACAATAGACAGACAACTGAAGCCCAAAGAGAGCGATCAACCCCAGGTCAATGATCCCTGAGGAGCCGAGGCAGGCGCTGACTCTAGGTGCCCAGTTCTCTTTCATTTACAACTCATCTGGTTTTGCAACAGGTGAAGAGGCTATCTTCAAAACCTAGGAAAACTGCATAGGGGTCACTGGGTCAAATGGTTTTCCTATCAGCGCTGACATGCTGTTTGCTTTTCCCTCTTATCCTTTTCTGCATCCACAGGAGAATTCCGACCAGAACTGAAACTATGAGTCTGGTGGCAAAGACTCATACAGAAATAATTCCAGTGTGGTGGTGCAACTTTTGCAACTCCAGGGCCCGAGAGGCAGAGGCAGGAGGATTGTATGTTTGAGGCTAGCCTGAGATTTTATCTCAAGAAACAATAACACCACCACCAAACAAAAAAAGTTGCTATGGAAATAGGTAAGACAGGAGCTCCACTCTAGCTTCTATTAAGCCAGAGATGGTAGGGATGTGCTGGAAGCAAAATAATGCTATTATTTTCACAGTTTATTTGTGTTTTGTAAGATATAGTCACATATTATATTCATACAAGTATTACTTAGCTATCATAACCATCATCCTAAGTCAATGAATATGTAAACATTTTTTGTTTTCATTTGAAGACATAACCTGCCCCCCTCAATGATTCTTGGGGTCCTCAGTAATTTTCAAGGATGTTTTGGGGTCCTGAGATCAACAGATTTGAGGACTGCCATACTAGAACATTAAAGAATAAGAGCAGAAAAGAAAGCTTGTGGTGGTACACGCCTTTAATCCCAGCACTCAGGAGGCAGAGGCAGGCAGATCTCTGTGAATGAGGCCAGCGTGGTCTACAGAGTGAACTCCAGGACAGGCAGGGCTACATAGAGAGACCCTGTCTCAAAAAGGGGGAAAAATAATTTAGCGGTTATAAAGACCCCCCCCCCTTCACCATGGCTGCTATTGCTGGAGTTGCTATTTTCCAGAGTTGGTCAAGATGGAAAGCCGTTTGAGTGGAGTTATGAGGAATGGAAGCAAGGGGACAAGCTTGGGCCTGAGAAAGAATACGCAGATGGGAATAGCAAAGCAAAGACCTGGAGACAGTGCGTGGCTTGTGTGGGGGGAGTGAGGAGGTGCAGGGCTAGAACACAAAAGCTAGGGGAGGAGGGGCCTGTGGGCAGGAGACCAGGCTATAGGCTGTAGGGTTTAAACTTAAAAACACAACATTCCAAAAGACACCTGCCATCCCACTCAACCTTCTCACGTGACGTTGGGCATGCATACAACACACGGAGGATGTGGGTGGGATGTAATTTGTGGGGCAAACACTGCTTCTAGTCTTCCGAGGTCCCCCCCCCCCCCGCCCACTATCTAAGAGTCAACAAAGGTGGAGCAGGCAGTCAGGCGGGTACTAATGGAGGGCTGCCCTCCCCACCACTTGGGTATTTTCAAGGCAGACTTGTGAGGTAGTCAAGGCAGGCATGACTTCTGTTCTCTGTCAGATAAGGATACACAGTCAAAGAAGTCAGTCTCATCTCACACAACCAGCTGGTGACAACCCTCAGTGGTGTCATCCAGACAACTCCTGAGTTCTGAACTGGAGTTCTTCCCAGGGCTGTGCCATCTAGCCTACTGCTTTATCACAGAGGCAATGCCAAAATAAAGAAGATACAGCCGCGAGAGCACCGCTTGAGTCAAAGGCCAAGCTTACTTTGTCGGAATGAAATCAAGGCGTCCTGCTTCGCCTTCACTTCATGAGATCTGTCCTCTGGTTATCTCTGCTGAGTTATTATTCACTATTTTTTGGGGGTGGGGACATTTGGTCACACTGCGAACCACAAGTTTGCATTTGCATTGATTAAATAAAATTGACCTTGGGTCAGGAGGCTGAGTTAGCAGTTGATGGACAGAAAGTAATCATAAAGCATCAGAGGGCATCTGGGAGAGATACGAGACGCAGGAAGTAGTTGGGCGGGATTTGGAGTAGTGCAGGTTTTCCTGTTTTGGCGGAGTGGAAGTGCAGGTCTTTTGGAGACATCAACACTTTGAAAGAAGGTTAGCTTTTCCATGAAACCTCTCTGGGCTAGCAGGTTTCCACCCCCGCCTTTGAACCTCGAATCTTATTTATACACAGAATGATAGAGATTTAGTTAAAGCTACCTTTAGCGGCAGCCACAGAGTCAATGTCTGTAGGAACACAATTCCCACTAGGCTGTGGCCTGAGCAGCCAGTAGGCTGTTGCTAGAGAAGCAGGCAACTGCAGAGATGCAGTTGCTGGCTGAAATAGCAGTAGATTAGGATGCAGGCACTGTGCAGAAGTTAAAACAACAATTAACCTATCAATTCTTGCCAACATTCTAACAAACTATGGAACAAAAACAGCTTGGAAAGACTTGTCGTCTGTGGAAGGGACAGGATGCAATCATTTCTCTAAATTCCCCAAGCACACCTGGCTTTACACAACTTAGTCTTGTGTAAGTCAAGGAGGGATGGGAGAAGAAGAGAATAAAATCACTCACTAAATAGACATCCAGTACAGAGGCATTGTCGTCCTGTATTTCCAGAGTATTTGGCTCAGCAGTCAGGTAGATGGTCCCCTCTTCCAAGGTGAAGGTTGAACTGGAAGGTAACCCTTTGCTGTAAAAACAAAGATGAATAATGAGTTTGTGGCCTGCAGAACAGATCCAAGGATGTGTCCCAAGTTATTGGTTAAAGAGGCTGTGTCGGTGAATTTTGGGTTAAAAAAAAATCTCTCTCTTTTTTTTTTTTTTTTTTTTTTGAGTCACCCTGAAAATGTGGCCATTTAGGTTAAAATTTAAAAATATTATTTTAGAAATAAATAATTTTTTTACTTTAAATAAAATTTTATTAATAACATTCCCCCCCACACATATGTTATAGTTCACAATGTTTGCAGGTGATTTGTGGGTACCTTCTTGTAAACCAAGGGTTCTGTGAAGCTAGCAGCCTGTGGTATCTACCATTTTGAGTGGTTGGTTTTCAATTCTGACTGCTGTGTTCCTCTCATTTATCTATACGTTTGGAAAATGTGTCCACACATTGCTAGTTTACAAAAAGCCCCCTGCTTCCCGCCCTTTCTCATCCCTTTCTTCGTCTTTCTTTTCTTCCTGCTTTGGGGCCTGGAAGGTTCAATGGCTTTCATGGGTCTCAGGTTTCAGTATCCATCAAAGCTTCTGGGGGCTGCTCACAATGCAGGTTCTAGGACCTTGCTAGTGTAGAGTCAGTGAATTACATACAGTTCTGACCAAGCCTGAGGTGATGCTCATGCTGGGCTGGTCCAAGGACCACATCTGGAATAACAACATGGGGTGCTATTACATATTCTATGAGGATCCCTGTTGTGGAATAATCCTTTTGTACACTGTGGAAATGTGTCATTCTGATTCGTTTAATAAAAAGCTGAACGGCCAATAGCTAGGCAGGATTTCTGGGCAGAGAGGACGCTGGGAAGAAGAAGGTGGAGATGCAGAGCAAGCAGAAAGGGCAATATAGAGGTGAGGTAATGAAGCCACGAGGCAGAAAGTGAATTAATAGAAATGGCACTTAAAACAATAAAAATAAAAATGTAATTATGAAGCATAAAGAGATGATGCAAGAATAAACCCCACCTTAAGTCAGTGTATCCACAGCCTACTGCAAATTGTTTTATCCCTTAGAGATTTCCCCACACAGAAAAAAATCTGTCCCCCAAAGGGTTTCACTTAAATGCCGTGGAGTAAGGGAATGTCCACTGGGAATTGCCCTGTCTTTTTTTTTTTTTTTTTTAAACTGCACGGTTGATTTCCCAGGCACCCATCTATTTGTAATCAATTTATAGTTTCCCAGCCTGTGAATTTCCTAGGTTCTGTTTTAGGAGTCATGTATAAGTGAGAGTATCTCTCTTGGGGAAAAGGCTCTCAGAATCTAGTGGTTGGGGTCAGAGTGCCCACCATTTCTTGGACTAACAGCAAGGGAAGGTCCATTTTAGAAGAGATGCTACGTGACTGGGTTTAAGAGCCTGGCAGCCTGCCTGGGTTCTGTACCGCTGAGTTCTGCCCTCATACCCTCCATCTAGAGCTTCTGAGGGCCAGGCATGCAATGGGCAATGAGCTGCACAAGAAACTGCATCTATTTGGTTCTGCTTTTGTCTGGTAGATGCCTAGGGGTCCCAGCGTCCACTGCCAGTCTGCTCCTGATAAGTCCTAAGCTTCTCACAGGGAACTCATCTCATCATTGTTCTTTCGGCAGTGGACATTCATGGTGCTTTGATGCCATGAGGACTATCGCCAGCCAAGTGACATCAGTTTGGCTTCGCACAGAGCATTAGCTTGGCTGGACCGTTGAACTGCCATCAACAATTAAAGCCCGGAACACTGATTTCTGTTTGCTGACCTAATGAGTGTTTTTGCAGCTCATTCTCTCAGGCCCATGTGTTGGGGGAACAGATGGACCTAGTTACAGTTTTTCTCTTTTAAAAGCCACCCTTTTACTGCCTCAATCAAGAATGAAATAGTGTAAAATATCACATGGTGTAGGTAAGTTAGGGTGTGAAACCATAGCTCCAGCCCTAACCCTGCCTCTTCCAGGGAGTTCCCATCATCATTGCTCTCTTTAGCTTTTCTGGTGAGAATTTTTTAGATTTATTTTTGTTTTATGGGTAGAAGTGCTTTGTTTACATGTCCATGCCTGGTGCCCTCAGAGGCCCAAAGTGGGCATTAGATTCCCTGGAACTGGGGTTACAGACAGTTGTAAGCAGCCCCGTGGGTACTAGGACTCTGGAAGAGCAATGAGTGCTCTTAACCCCTGCTGAGCAATCTTTCCAGCCCTCTTCATCTCTTTTGATGAACCCTGGAATAAAAGACACTCAACAGCAGTACCCACCCTCCTGGGGGGGGTGTACTCTCTAATACCGAGTTTCCTTCCATTACCTGCTATCTATCTATCTATCTATCTATCTATCTATCTATCTATCTATCTATATGTATGTATATATATATATATATATATATTATTTTTAACTGTAAATTATATTTAACTGTCTTAATTCCATCATCCACCCATCGTATATCTGTTAGCATTTCACTTTACTTCACCTTTGCCTTTTCTCCCCTTACCCTCCTCTCATTTTGTATTGGGCACATAAAAAATAAATTTGCATCCATTCCCTAATGGCTACTAACACATATATTTTATCTTACAATGGTAACTAGAATTTTCTTGTTTCCTTCATGAGTTGCCTCCAAAATCAGAAAATCAATATACAGAGTTTATAGTATCAAGAGCCATGTAAATATTATCTAATGCTGGGCCAATGGCGAGTTAGCGTCATATTTTTGTCTCTAGGCGTAATGTCATGATTGCTGGGCCATGCCAAGAAAAATGTTCTTGGCATCAAGGTTAGAAGGCTCAGTGAGTGGGGTCTCCAGCTCCCTCCTCACTTTTGCTTAAATTCATGCCACATTTTAAGCTGCCACATTATATTTGCCTTTTAAAGTTGACTGCACTAGGAAAAACCCGTTCCCCCCCCCCCCCCGACCAAGGGTGTCCAAAGGAAGGGCAGAGGCTGAGTCTCCTGCTTCTGTGATGACCTGCCATGATACAGGGCCACTCATCACCTGGCACAGAACCCTGGCCTCTCATTCACAAAGGATCCCAGCCAGCCCTTCTCACAGCTTCATGAGAGGGACCAAACCCCACTATGTGGGTGAGATAAAGGCCGGCTTGAGGGCAGGCTTTTCATTATGAACAGAGGAGAGCAGCATCCTCTCAGCTCTGGGGCCCTGCCTTGCCCTTTGATGAGGTCTCTTTGCATGGATGGATTTATCACAAGTGCTTGGAAAGGATCCCTGTTTTGGTATTCAAAGCTTTGCTACTGGAACACTAAGGGATAGCACTGTGGGTAGAGAGCTCTCCTTGCAGGGAAAACCACAAATACAGCTGGGACTCACTTGCTGGTTGCCAAACCTCATTTGGTCTTAGAGCCAGGCACTGCTTTTGTTCCCACAATGCTCAGGTGGGAAGCCAAGGTCAAAATACACCACCTCCACCCCTACTCTGATGGGGGAGGGGAGAGGCTGTTGCTCTTCTCAGGAACTGGCACCAGACTTCCCATCTGCAGCCTGGGAGATGTCACTGGGTAGCAGGCCCGTGTCCCTCCATGACAGAATCCCTACATGCTGAGCTCTTTGGCGGAGCGAGGAGGCATGTCCCCAGGAACACGGGAGGCTTTGACCATGGATGCAGCATCCACACTGCCAGCTGTCCACACTCCTAGTCACTTGTGCCTCTGGGAGCAAGGCCTTTTGGAGAGTCCCCGTCTTTTTTTGCTCTGTATTCAGGAGCATGGCTGCTGTTTGTCCTCAGCTCTACTTCTGCTATTTTTAGTTCAGGAGACTGCCTGTTTCCAGCCAGCGTGCAGAGCAGCGGGCAATCTCAAGTGCTGATTGATGGCTGCCTGTGGGTAGAGCTTGGCTTAACATCCCTGTTTACGGGCATAAAGACAGCACCAAGCTGGGGCTTGGAACTGAGAGACAGAGAATGAAACAGGAAGGACCTGCTGCTCAGAGAGCTGGCCTCAGAAGGCAGTGAGTGCCTGCTGCTCTCTGGAGGAGCCAACACAGAGTGTCCATGGTAGCTGAAGGGGGGAACCTGCAGGGAACTTCACTCTCTCTCTCTCTCTCTCTCTCTCTCTCTCTCTCTCTCTCTCTCTCTCTCTCCTAGCCTTTCTAGCAGCCTAGCCCAGTACACACTCACACACACACACACACACACACACACACACACACACCCCCATTAAAAGCTGGTAGTTTTTCACATGGTTATGATCATGTCACACATAATAAGATGAGCCTCTTGCTCGGCATTTCGTACTTTGCAGCTTTAACTCTACTTTGTTTAAACACAAGTTGCCCGGAATTAAACCCAGGCCTGATTCTGGAGCAACAATAAATATATATTGTCTCAATCCACTCAGTCTCTGTGAGAATTAGTCTCCCCTTTCTAAGAGAGTCTGAGTCCCAGCAATAAAGGCTCTGTTAACAAGGAGAAGTGGGAGAAAAACAGACCAGTGACAAATCATCCTGAGTGACATCTTCATTGTTTGGCTTTGTCAAAAAGGAGTGGGGATAAAAGATATTTTTTGTTTTTGAAACTATCAGGAATTGGATCAGGGTTTCATGCAGGCAAGGGAAGCATTCCACCATTGGCCCATATACCCACCTCAAGACGGGTGTGTAGATGTTAAAACAAGAACACTAAAGAAACCCATGACAGTCTTACCTCATGACAGAGAAACGTTAATTGAGATAGACTGTAGAAGAGGTGTGCCAGTGAAAATGTCCAACGCCCCCAAAGCAGACAGACAGACGGACTGTGGTGTTGGTTTTGACCTTAGAGTCAGGAGGAGGGAGAGGCGAAGGGAATGAGGAGAAGGGGGAAAAGCTCCCCACCATGGTCCTTTCATAGCTACCAGTGAGCGGGATCACGTTTGTCCCAGTTCACTGAATGATTTGCAAGGTCTCAGCATTTCATGATGCTGAGGCAGGAGAACCGCCATGAGCTCAAAGCTAGCCTGATTACATACTGGGCTTTGATTACACAGTCTTAATAATAAAACAGACAACCCCTCCCCAAGTTAT